TAAAAATCGAGATATAACTTCTTATACAAATGAAACATGAAGAAGGAGATTTGAAGAAATATTCATTATAAACGCGTCAAAATGTACAAAAATGAAGGTACATATTTGTAGTACAAGTATTATGTATCTAACTTTGTTTCTAAATATATTATTGTTTATACCAAATGAAAAAAATGTACAATATATCTCTAATTTGTAAACAATTGCACGTTGTTGCATTTTCTGAATTTGTTTTTTCAGTGTATAAAGGTGAGATAAAATATGTTGGTATTGATAGAAAAACATGTTGATGTGATAGAATTCAACATAACGAGATATCTTATCTGCACACAATTGCCGTTTTGAAGAAGATGAATATTACAGATGTACACCCTTACTGCTTTTATTACTATAAACATGATGCATTAACAAATACTTATGCAACTCCAATGGAACCAATGCTAGACAAAAGTGATTGGATAACTTCAGACTGTGTTTTGGAAGAACTTTTCTTGCCACTAAGATATAAAAAAAGTCAGGTAGACAAAGAAAAAACAGGAAGAAAAATTCAGGTGAAAAGCTAACAACAAAAATGAATTGTTTTGGACGTTGTGGACAAGAAGGTCACAATATAAGAACATGTACTTTCTTTCTAAAATATTCTTGATGAGTAGTTTTTAAGAATTTTTATCCTTCATTTTTATTAACTTTCAGAATATTTTGAATCTGCTAATAAGATATTATCATTTAATGTGATTTTAACTTTATATAAATATTACAATAGACAAAATGTTGAATCATACTAAAATATTGATTTTGATTGTGTTATATCAAGTGTAAAATATAATATAGCATGTGTTGGGAATATAACAATTAAGTTACTTGATAAGTGATTTAGTATCATTTATATCATAGGTGAACTATAGTTTGTATCTGATAATAATAAAGTTACATGATTCAATCTTATAAATGATACTAAATATATTAAAATAATTATTTTGTATCAATTGTTACATATAAACAAATTTGTTATTTGATAATCAAATGTGTATCATATACATAATAATTTTATGGATATTATGTATCTGATAATAATAAAGTATCAAACGTTATGATTTACTTCAAGGCTACTACATGTTAATGTATACTAAATAAATTGAAAATCAATTGTTATTTACCAAAGGTATTATATATAGTATCAGCTATTCTGTATACGATGGTTATATTATATCAACAGTAATGGTGTATACCACACTTATGAAATACAATTCGTAACAAGTTGCTATATATTAATCTATATGTATATTTAGACAAAAAATAAAAATCGAAATACAAAAACAAAGAACATTCTTCAGATTAATAATTACTGAGTAATATTTTGTTTAAAAAAGAAGAAATAATACCAAATACTAATTAACGTATCTTCAACACCACAAAAGTCTAACTATTCTGCATTAATCAGACCCCCTTCTGTTGGTTTAGTGTAGCCACTCTATGGACTTGTAGGATCATCATTATCGCTAACATATCCAACCTTAACTTTTTTCATACCATACTTCCATAACAATGTTCCGTAGCTATTGCGACGATAGTCACTCCGAAAACTAATAGCTAGAATGTTTATTTCTTCGCTCAAGTATTAAGCAAAAATAGCTACATACATTCCACAATGAATGCAAACAAAAGTAAATAAATTAAATAGTGAATTGATTGTGTAAGTAAATAAATTGTTTTACAATACTAACTGGCTATCACTTTGTTGTTGCATAATGTCTTGAGCATATTCCATCGCAAACTACTGTTGTAGATCCAACAGTTCACTAGTTTCCTTGTCTTCGTACGCCTCCAATGATACTTAACCAATTTTGTCCGTTTTATCAAAGAACCCACTATCATGAAGATAGTTTGAAAGCATTACGGGCAACTACTTTATCTCTTTGGAATGAACTCTTTTCCTTGATCCCATAGATGAGTCATACACTTGTATTAATCTTTTCTTTAAAAAACCATAACCAACACCGAATTAAAATCTCAGCTACAATTAACCGGAATATAAACCTTATCTACTTGAGGCCATGGTAAAACAACAGGGATCAAAAACTTATTTTTGATGTCTTTTATAGACCCTTCATAAGAAGATACAGTAACACCATGACCAATATATTCTTGTGTAGTAAGAGTTTCATCTGTAGGAGCGCAATAATACCTTTTGTATACAATGTTTATATATGACTTGAACAAAAAGTTGACTGTAGTGTCTTTGTATTGATCCATGCTTTTTAATTTTGATTGCTTGCATAGATAATGAAAAATTACTTTTATGTGCTGTAAAATAAAGGAAAAAACATTTTATATAATCTACACAATCTAAAAGAAAAGCAATACACTGATGAAAAGGAAAAACCAATTAGTAATTTGATATCTATATTAACTGACACATTTTACTTTTGTATCATATATATAATTTGAATGGATAATGTACCTGATTAGTCCAACATTCCATTTTTCCTTATTTACACTGACAAAAAAGACAAATCTAATTATTCATGAAATAGTCAATACTTTATGACAAAGTAAATGTGATTTGAGTTGTTCACTTATACAAAATTCTCTTCACTTTTGATACAATAACAGTTAATAAACACATTCGCAAAGAATTGATGTATTTGAAAAACAACAATGAATTTTAAAGAGGATACTTAATTGAAAAATAATAATAATCATATTAAAAAAAATAAGTGATACATATATGATAAAAGTTGCATACCATGAGTAGTATTGGTCGAATAATGGGAGGGGCAACCTTTTCTTTAGGATTTTCGGATCTTTTGAAGTAGATGCATGACCTTTCTTTATCGATTTTCTCTTGCTAGAACTTTGATTTTTCTGTCTATCGGGTCATGCAACCTTTTAGAACTTAATTCTTTGCTGTTAGAATATTCTGAAAGAAAAATTAGAGATTTGTTAGATATTAGATGCATAATGCAATTCAAAAGGATTGATACACAATAAAAAGAAAAAAAAGGCGACAATCACAATGGAGAAGATGAGAGAACCTAATTTCAACTCTGAATCCGGTTGAATAGTGATAGGATTCTTTTGAAATCCAAAATTTTTTGAATTTGATAACTGAAATCTTAGTGTGAGAAATTGAGGGCAAAATTTGGAGAATTGGAAAAGTCTGATTTTGCTGCCAAATAATAAAGTATCCAGTTAAATATTATTAGGGGAAAATAAGAGAATTTTGTATTTTAATAAAAGAATAGAGAAATATTGTGAATAGGTAAAGTAATATTGTGTACTAAAATAATTTCTCCTATTTTTTAACTTACCATTTTGTAATCTCAACGCAAGTGTATCACAAAGAAAACATTCATAATAGTTAAAACTATTTTTAATTAACTAGATGAGGGATGACTCTCTTTGCGGTCCCACCTACAGTTCTAAGTTAGAGTAGTTTTTTCTATTTTAATTCTAATAGTTGGACTATGTAACTTTATGACTTATAATTATGTATGAGTTGCTATAAAATCATTGAAAGAATAAAATAATGTCAAGTTAAATGTAGAGAACTTTGTATACTTACCGCTTCATATAGAACTTATATCCATTTATTTAAGAGCGAAATTTCTAGTTATTGAATATTGTGTGGTTAACTAAATGATTACATTCTTTACATCAATAAAATATCATTTATATTGATACTGAAGAACACATTCACTATATTGATAGTAGTTCGTACAAAAATATTAACACCTATAGATATTGCAAGTGCTGGACAAATTTTAATACTTATTTACTGAGTTATTTAATCTAACATGAAAATTAGAGCATTCGACACATCAGTTGTCACATATATATACCTACATCAAGAAGATAAATATAAAGGATAAATGTAACTGTAAAAAGTTGATCAAATAAATCATGTTAAGTATGGTGTACATTGTTCCAAAGAAACCGAATAACTATATGAAAAACTTCAACCAAAGCTGAAATTTTTACAAATTTCTTTAATGAGAACTCATAACATTATCGTTTCATTCAAATCTCTCAAGCAAAAACTTTTCATCCCATCCGAGGGCAAAAAAAATGTATATTTTATTTAATATCACTTAAATCTGCTCTCTTCCAATCATCTCAACTCGGGATTATGAATAATAAAATATTAAACTTCAAAGGCAAATTATTTCTTTTGATTTATTGTTTGAGATTTTTTCTTTTATTTTGGAATCATTACTTTTGAAAGAAAAAGGGAAGTTCCATATGAAGGACCCTAGGGCAAGGTTTTCGGTGTCCAAGTGCCAAGTCTCGAGAGCTTGTGTCCGTGGTGAAAACACCCTCCAAATGTATATCTAAAACCCTTATATCAAGTATTGCCCCACTAGCTGTTTAATTTGTTTGTATGTATCTGTTCTATCCCCACGTATTCTCCAATAGTGAAAGCCACTTGACTGTAGGGAAATGAGCTCTAAGTTGGAATTCAAGGAGAAAGCGTTAAGCTAACAAGCCCCTCCCTGGCCGGACAGACCTCTTGTGTATTTCTAGTATTGTACTAAAGTCTATTTGTTAATTCATTTATGGTTTACACGACTTTAGGCAGATAAAGGTATCTTGCCTCTAGTTACTTAATTGTATTCAACTTCTATCGCAGATAAGTTATTTTTTACGCATTTCTTTTCATGTTCATTTACAATTAAATAGGTTTAAATTAAAGACTGGATTACTTTATTAGAGTTATACTTATGGTGCCAATATTTTTTTTAAAAGAACTAACAATTCTATTCAATAAATACTTAGTCACCCCAAAAAAAAGTGCTAAGTTGGAAACTTTATAGGCATCGAAAAGGTACTTACACCCTCGTCCAAAACCCTATATAATATATTTTGTCAACTTAATATATTAACTCTCCTACATTCCCCCGCATATTCTGTTTACACACACAAAAAAGTTAAGACAATTCATCCTAAGTTTCTCGCTGGAATTGCTAGTGCCTTCAGAATGTTTGCATTCTTTCCCTTCCAAAAACTTGGATAATTTCTAGTTTTGTGCATGTAATTCTTGCACATGGACCATACTAATCTTCTATGTATCGTTCTAATTTTATCAGATGGCCCGAAAGGTAATCGTTCCAATATCAACTAACATCAAGGTATATAGGAAATTTTGCAATATTTTCATGACTCAGTGGTACCCCTAGATCTAACATGTTGTACAAGTCCTTGAGAGACCTCATACAAGCCACTTAGCTTTTAAAACATAAGATAATTAATAGAAATGAGCGGAAATTTGTTATATTTTCAATAACATCAAAGTTTTATATCAAAAGCGGAAGTCTATTACACTTTGGCTCAAAACCATCTAAAACATGAATATCATGGTATACGACCCATATACCAATGTTAAAAATTTAAAATATAAGAACATAAGGGAAATGGTGGTCAAATCATCAAATGATATGAGCATTCATCAATCTTCAAGTCTTGCTTCTACTAAGATCTTAGCTATATGGATGAGAGTCGAGATTGTCAAACCCTACATTTGGATAAGAAATGTAGGCAAGAGTATGCATTAGAATAAACATGCACTAAATATGATTGCTTGATCGACATAAGCATAAAAATTGGACAATATAAGTATAATCAATGCATATAATAGATCATTTCAACATAAATAGAGTACTTCTTGAAGAAACCTTAACCCATCCTTTATCTAGGCTTGGTAATCCGTCTCTATTATTACTCTTCATGCAAGGAAACTCAAGCAACAATCCAAGCTAACGAGTATTCGCCTCTTGTCTTATTATAAAGGATCATTTGTACTCTTATCCATACCCATCATCATATAACACAAGTACTCACCTCTATATCATTTTATAAGGATTATGGGTACTCGCCTCCATGTGTAATCATCATTATCGAAACGTGGAGAGTCACTTCTTATTCAACATAAAGAAATAAGGATAGTCTCTTCTTATTCATTATGGATACTCAACTCATGTTCTATCTTAATTTGGAAGTCAAGGGTAGTCACTTCTAGCCTCATAAATTTATCGGTCTTTAGCTTAATTCATTTTAGGTGAGCAATTCTTTCAACCTAGAATTATTCAATATAAAAAAACCTTCCACATTCATACTTAAGCAATTCATGTGGGAACTACCTCTTCCACAACAAAACATCAACAATCAATAATTCATAACATAAACTTTATTCTCAAAGACTGTATGTCATAATCATCATATATACTTTACTTTCAGAACACTACACATTATATTCATCATATATGCTTCAATATCAAGCATTTATAATGTATCTCATCAATTCTATAAGAATACATTTAAATCCATAATTCTCCTTTTATGGCATAAACACATTTGGATAAATTTCATCTTTCTAGACATGGGTTAAACATGGATACATGTAAATTTACCCTAAAAACCTGCAATCCTATGAATTTATGCATAAACAATCATAACACAATCATTTGGATCAACATTCATCAAGAACTACAATACTAGAAGAAAATCCTAACTCAATTAGAGAATTTCTACTTTTCAATTGAGGAAATCTTAGAGGCTCCATAAATGAAAGGATTTCTTGGATGAAAAACCGTCACACCTTAATAAAAATGCCCACAAATGTTTGAGGAATGTAGACTTAAGCTTGATCCTAGCTTGAACTCTTTGTCTTTCTTCTTCTTCAAGTTCTAGAGAGAGAATTATTTTGGAGAAGAACCCAATTCTTTTGTTGAGTTTGAAAAGAATCACTTGAATGAGTGATTCTAACCCAGGGGTCCTAAACTTGGTATAGCAACCTAGATTTCATTTAATAATAACTAAAAAGACCCATTTGTCCCCAACTTATAGTGGACTGCCCTACCTTCACGATAGGAACCATGGCTTGTTAAGGATTTCACAGCCCGTAGTTGTGCCCGTGGTCGTTGGCCACTAGGTTATCATGCAACCACATAACCCCCTTGAGACCAACTCTAGACTACGATCTCTTCTATGACCTGTGTCAAGTGGCTCATAGGAGCGTCTCCATTTTCAGAAGAATTGACTAGCTACTGCGCCTAGCCCTCCAGGATGTTACCACGACCCGTGGTCCACACCACGAGGCGTCATGGTGGTTGTGGGAGGTGAGCATAGCTTTACTAGCCACTGTGAGCTCCATCGACAGTACCACGATTCGTGGTGCCATTCACAACCGGTTTAGGTCCACATGAAGATTCTACATGCTCACTTCCTTTGCTCTTGACATCTCACTTTACCCATGCTTAGAATACTAGATTTCGAGGTGTTACAAATATTTTCGTATATTTAAGAAGAATTTGTTTTTGATTAATGTGTTGTTTCTTCTAAAAGAGAGGGTAAGTGACAACACAATGTTTGGTTACCGCAACCTATGAAAATATCAATCACACGACTTTTTGCAGACTCTCGAGTCCTTAACAACATAGAGTTCTTGTAACTGTAAACATATCTAATGTTATGTTGCTCAGACTCAGATGCAGGTGTCCGATATGGGTGCATATCTAAAGGTCAAATCCTTTAGGATCTAATTTTTAAGGTTTGGTATATGAATCTATGTATGAATATGGTAAGGGGATTCACCTAAAATAATTCAAATATCTAAAAATGGAGTTATTAAACCTAAATTATGAGATAATATGTAGAGAACTTGAGGAGAGTCATGGAAGGAAATTAAAGAAAAAAATAGTGACATATAAATTTCTATATAAATTGTATTTCATTTTCTTCAATTTCAACGTAGTTTTTGTATTGATTAGAGAAACCATTAAAACCTTTTCATACTTTCCCTATCGATGTTGTACAAAGTATCCAAAATTGGCTGATCAAATTGGACACGTACCTTACACCCATACCACACCCACACCCACACCCATATCGTGTTGACACGGATGCAACACCAAAAGTAAAGAGTCCGAGCAACTTAGATATAATGTATAAATATTCAATGACGGGTAGCTCATGTACAAACATCAGTGTTGGACATCCCATACTAAATTCCTTGTGGACTTGACCTATGCCCACACAACAACAACAATATATCTAATATGATCCCATAATGTTGTATTTAGGAGAATAGAGTGTACACATACCTTGTCTCTAGAGAGTCTGCATCTGATAGACACTCAGTTCAACGGAACAATGGTCTAAATGGTTGAACCTTAATCGAGCTCCAAAAAAAAGCAAATCTGAAAGTTAAATGGCAAACAAATTTATTGCATGAAATTTATGAACCATCTATGCCTAAATGGTTTTAGCTAAAAAGTATATAATACCAGATTCTTGCTCATTACATGCCGTAAGAAGTGGAGTCATGTTTTGAGTAACTACACCCAATTACATATACAACCACCACAAACAATGTACCTTCCTTTTCATCTTTCAACAATAGATCAAATTAGACTGAAAAACTAATTATACGATTGGATAAAATAATTAAAAATATTATCAACTTGTCAATTATCAAGAAAACCTACAAAGATAAAATAAACATCAAATTTATCAGACATAGAAAGCAAACAGTAGAAAAAACTACATTATAGATCCAACTAAAAGAAAAAAAAAGCAAAACATACAATAAACAGTTAAAAGAAAATAAAGGAGAAAAGCATAGAAACATGAGAAAAAATGAACTAAAAATAACTAACATGAACTATGTAACACTGAGGGATATGCCAATTCATCGAACATGGAAGCTTAAGCTAGAATCTGATAAAATTTGAAGTCCATGTCATATGATCATAGATTTTACGCTATTTGACGTTCTTATCATGACCTTCTTTCACTAAGTGAGAACCTTTTTATATCGATAATCTATTTATATGAGTTTTGTTCCACAAATTTTAATGCTAGTCAGTCCTAAAAAATTTATAAAAATGACACTTAGCACAACACCAAAAGAGAGGTTTTGTAATAATTTCTCATACAATTTTTTACAAAAAATAATAATAATAATAATAATAAAAAGGAAATAAAAGAAATTACCCCTTAATATATAGACAAAATAACAACATACATAAAGAATGTGCTTCTAACTTAATTGATTGAGAAATTATTTCAACTCTATATTGTTTCATCTTTCAGCACTTAATGCTACATAGGGTATTACTTTAGTAAACCAAATATTGATAATTTATTCAATCAAATCATCTCCACATAATATCATATTTGTAATCCCCAAACGTGGACAGACTTTCAAAGTAATCATACCTATATTGATGGGATTAACATGCTCATAGGATTTCTAACATACCCTCCATATACTTAAACTACGGTAATTTAAAAGTTCAAATTTGTCTCCAAATCACATCTCAATATTAACCCTCACGAAATTTCTCATCAATATTTTCAATTCAAGTACAAATCAATCCGAGGGTTTACTGGGGCTAGATAGTTGTAAAAGAAAGTGAGATAATAATGAAATAATCATCAATACAATTTGGCCACTTTGTTTGGATGGTGGTTACATATAGTTTTATAATGTATTTTGTTGTATTGTTGTGTGTTGTATTGTATTACTATGTTATTTTAATGAGTACCATATTGGGATGTGTTATATTGTTCTCCGTGGTTACATTTTATCACACTTTCATAATTTGAGTGATAAACCTACAAGAAAAGTAGGATACAAGATACAAATACTATGAAAAGGTGGTGTAAAAGTAAAATATAATTATTAAATAATAAATAAAGACAAAATGAGAAAAAAAATATATTAAGATAACAACATGATCAGACCAAATCGATTGTTATATAAAATAGATCTTCTAACTGTTATCCAACAATGGATTTGAACGATCATATAATAGAATTTGAGTAACAAGCAAACAAACGTTATATTTAAACTAACAATGCAATAGAATTGACAAACAACAACCGTCCAAACAAGATATAAAAAGTAATAAATTGAGTACCACTTAAAAATTCAGAAAATTAAGCAAAATAATGAGAATAAGAATGTTTCAGCAATAATTGTCACATATAATATAGCACAAAAGAAAGAGAGAGATAATGTTTAATTGATAAATTATTTAAAGTATATAAAATTATTTATTTGTGTAATAAATCTAAATACAAATTTAGAGTTGTCTGAAAGG